ATACTTATCGTTAGTAATGTTATACAATTTTAATTAGTTAACGATGGAAATTTATTTTATTTGATTAATAAAAATTTGAAACAATTCTTGCATTTAAGCCTCTTTTTAAAAACAAGAATGTGAAAAAAATATTGGCTCAACTTGATGAGATAGTCGCATAAAAAATGTTGTGTACACCTCGACCGTATAATCTTTTTTGACCTAACCAGAAGTTGCTTGGTCTCAGCAGTATACTTCTGATTCGGCCAGAAACTATCAACTTTATGGCCTTGGTACACAAATAACTATTCTATTGTTTGATTAAGGATAATTTTCTTACCGTAGTAGAATTTTATATAAATAAAATATTTATTCGGTCGTTACGGGCACTACATATGTTTCGGAAATACTGTTCCATTTTCTGGTGCCAGTTATTAAATATTGACTGGCACCAGAAGATGGAACAGTGTTTTAGAAACATGTAGTGACTGTAGGTACTTAAATTTTATAAAAACAAGAAGCTTTCGGAAAAAACGCTTTACTTAGTTGAGTTGAAACATGGCAAATATCCCATGAACAGAATCTTTTTCATTATTTGACTTTAATTAATTACAATATTCACGAACATAATAAGTACCTATTATTAGAATTTAAAAAATAAATATGATTACTTACTAGGATAAAAAATCACTGTAAACTTTTAATAAACTTAGCTGCTAATGTCGGTCGGCGTCACTCACAAAAAGAACGATTCTGCACTGCGAACTGTAACCAGACAAGAACGTGCTTAACAAAATGGCAATTAGAAACCACGTGGTGTTTAATGATGCCAATTTGTGAAACTCAAATTACTTACCTACTGGGACTGCATACTTCACTTAAAAAAATGCAAATTTATAATACAATAATTAGTTGTAGGCCACTAGTAATACACCAAACAACTTTTAAATTAATTTAAGCTAGTTTTATGTTAACGATAAATGGAAAAGATATTGCAAACTGGTACCTAATAGGTAATTTGAATTGTTTACATTTCCTATGATGGCGCAATAACAAAACGTGAATGGCAACGTTGAGATTGGCGCATTAAGGGGAAGTTGAGTCTGGGTATTATTAAAAATATATTCGCTAATAGTTAACTTATCATAGTTGTATATTAAAATTTATTTATTTCGTAGAGCGGGAAAGCACAATTGTTATATTTAAAGTGTTGTATTTTAATATTAAGAAATTTGTAATGTTTAGATAAACATAATAGTTATTTATAAATATACGTATATTGCCGAGTAAAATATTTGTTAATATCTACTATACCTTACTGTAACAAATGTTTTGTTAAATAGAAACTCGTATTTGTGAGATATTTATTAATAATTATAATATTAAGGTATTAATAAATTTCCTCAGTTAATATTTAAAGAATGTCTTCCTAACTTACAATATTTTAGATATAAACTACTTTTTTCTCTCAGTGTAAGAAATTTAAATGAGACTGGCTTGTCGATTGTACAAAGAATAGGAAAAGTTATAGTGAAAAAAAGAACCAAACAAGTCGGAAGCATGACTTCTAGCGAGCGAGGAGTCTTAGTAACTATGTGCATGCAGTATCATGTATTGGAAATCATGTTCCTCTGATGTTTTTGTTTCCCCGGAAGCACTTCTACATATACATTCCTCGTATTCCCACTCCTTGCATTTACAGCACTATATCTTCAGATGATACGTGTCACCACTGCGATACTGACTATGATTAAATGACAGTTAAAACATTGAAAATCGTAAATATCTGCTATTTTTTTGTAAATCAGTGTATCTGTTATTTGTTTTTAATTTATACACAAGATTTATTTATTTTTCTTAAATTAATTTTGTTTTAATTAGAAGATGAATTTTATTTTCTCTTTTACTTAATTGTTTTTTATTTGATTTTTTTAATAAAGCTAGTAATAATGCAGTACTGTATATTTTATTTTATCAGAAATATCACAAGACATTTATTTTTAACATTTTGTCTGCCGATTACGCCAATGGTACAACCTACCCCGGACACTGTTACAATTTACCCTATCAACGGTGGTACATTGTAACAAATGCAAAGCTTCATAATTTCTTAAACCAAATTTATTTAAAAACAATATATCAGCTAACTTTACACAATAAAATATGAACAGAGCAAATTTTGAAAAATAAAAAAAATCCTAAAAATGTTACAACCTACCCCGGTCTCCCATGCGCTAGATTAGTAACAAAAAAAATAAGATAACAAACCGAAGTATACAAAAATATATGCTAAAATACAGCTAAAACAATATGGAAACTAAAAGAATATTGAAAACCTAGAGAAGAAAATGGTCATTTGAATCTTACAATAATATGTATTTTATTGCGACAGGTTTCGAAGTTTATAAGTTTATCTGCTGGCATGCCTAGTGGGTAGAAGAAAAAAAAAATGGTAAATTTCTATTGGTAGCAACATGGAACAATATTTTAGTTCTAGAATTATTTGCAATACTAATCCACTAATAACACTAATATTTAAATTGTAGTAATTATTCATCTGCTTAGATGTGGCCATTTTTCAAATATCTAAATCAGTACCACATAAAACGTTTTTTATTAACTAAAGGTTAATAAAGGCAACCCGTTTTGCTCGAGAGCCATCTTTAGGCCTTAAAAAAGTAACTTTAACTTATATATTAGGTTCAAATCAATGATCATCACAAGTAATAGTTAAAACAATTATTATAAATCACATAATTTAAGACAAATACTTCAAAAGAGGTTGTTCGTACGGAATGCTGATGGGAAAGCTATTTTTTTATCTGTTGGAAATATTTTTTTTATTCAGTGGGATTTTTTATTAATGGGGAAAATTTTATCTTATGGGATAGACTATTTACAGTGTATTTTGTTTTGAGGATTTTCTCGATGGTGTCTGTACCGACATTAAATACTTAGATTTGTTTGGAACTTAGGATGGCGTCATAAACCAACGTGGAGTTGCCTAAGTGGACAATTAGATGCATTAGTGCATTAGAGATTTGAATTCAATAATATAATTACAAATTAGTAATACAATATTTAGAGGTCAACGTTTGATGAGTTTTAATGGATTTTATAGATAAATATTATGAATTTCGATTTGTTTTTTTTTTGTGAAAATTATACTTTTTTTTTGGGTGGTTATTTAAGTAACATGTATGACAACGGTACCGTATGTATTTTTGAGTAAATACTTAATATAATAATTTTGGAGTTATGTGGAAAATGAAGAATTTCCACCTAATTGTAGATACATTTCTTTTAGCATTATTGTTTCTCTAAACAGGTATTGCAATTATATCTAGGGACCAGAAAATTGTAAAATTGTTTAACATACATTCACTGATATGTTACTTTTTAATCCATGGTAAGGAAATCTCTTTTAGTATGGTATTAAGATACTGTGAGATTTGTAAGAGGGTGTGGATTAATTGTTATTACAGTTTAGTTGCTTTTTTTTGGTAACTTCCACTACGTTTGAGAGTTTGTTTTTTTTTGAATGACAGGCCTATAGTAAATCAAGTACATACTTTGTTACATTATTGTTTCACTGTTTTTGATGAATATAGAGAAAAAAAATAATAATAGTAGTAGTAGTAACTTTTTCTTTGTCTCTTTAAATAAAGATATTGCCATTAACTTGTTAGTTAAATTCTAAGCCGAATCTTACTGAATCATAAATGTGATGCGTATAATAGTATCTGAGTTAGCCTTTTCACAAGGCCTTTTACAACTGCAGCAATTAAGTTAACATATTTGACACCCAAAGTGTCTTTACATGTAACATGAATAAAAATAATTAAACGTGATCTACCCTCATGTTTCAGTAGTTAAATCAAATGGGGTAGTACTTAGTGTTAGGGTGCAGGAAAATTAAACGAATAGTAAGGATTGTATAGTAGTACTCAAAAAGCCGGACATCGTAAATGGTATTAATAGAGAAAGATATCTAGGTCTAGGTTGTATTGTACCTTTTAAAGTTACAGATTTAATACGTAGATAAAAACTGTAAAATAAACCACTGATGTTGATGTGACCCTTATAGGGAGCGGAATTAATTAGTAGCATAAAAAAAGAAGATTGCTAAACGGAAAAAAAATTGTAGAACAAACTTCTACAATTATACATTTTTTCTCTACAATAAATAGTACATATAGGGACAGGGACAATTTGTAGTAAAAATTTCCAAATATTTGTAGAGAATGTATTGTAGAGTTATTATCTACAATATGTAGTAAAAATATCTTAATGCATCATAAGAATTGTTCTACAAATTGTTATAATTTTTGCTATTCATTGTATGAATTTATATTAAAAATGTATTGCGTTTTATGAAAATAAATACGAAAATTTTACACAATAAATAGTAAAAATTCATACAAATTGTAGTAATTTTTAATAAAATTTGTAGTAGTATTCCATAATTATTATAATTATGACCTATAAAAAATGATCCTTAATAAAATATTCAATTTATTGTTTTAATATAAAAGATACAAAGTCTTAATTACATTATGCAATAAATAACAGTAATAATAGCGCCCTCAGTCTCGGTTGGCTTTTCTGCATCTGAAAAATATAAAATAAAAATTAATAACTATTGAACTGTTCATACCCTTAAAACGGGGATATTTATCACCTTTACACTGATTTGGATATTAAATGACTAAGGGCCATTCGCACCGCTTCGGAATAAATTATTCCCTAGTAAAGTGACACTTATTATTTAAGTATTACTTAACCTAGTTTAATTCGCACCAGTCACTTCAAAACCAACATTTAATTAAGTATTAGATTGATTTGGCAACGTCAAGATTTCTTTAGAAAAAGTAGAAATAATGTCAATTTTCATTTGGTTTTGAAAGTATAGTGGTGGTTACGAATTACGAATGTCACGAATGTCACAAGATAATTAAAAAAAAATTAATAAGATGAACGAAGAAATGAAAAAAAATAGAGCACGGAGTGCAAATTATACGATGAGGGAGAAATCTTTATTAATTCAATTGGTGGAAAAATATAAAAATATTATTGAAAACAAGAAATCTGATGCAATATCTTGGAAAGACAAGGATGAGGCATGGGTTAAAATTAGCCAACAGTTTAATGCAAATTGTCCAGAAAATATTCACAGAAAAAAAGAATCTTTAAAAAAAACTTACGAAAATTTAAAAAAAAATATAAGGAAGGACGTAGCTGACGAAAAAATACAAATAAAGAAGACAGGAGGTGGAGCCGTAAAAATACCTCTTAGAGACCCAACTTTTGAAAGAACTTTGGCTCTAATTAATCCTAAGACCGTGTTAGGACTATCAAACACTTTTGATGGGGACAGAGATGTACATGATATTGAAAATCATTCTACTCCCAGTACTAGTCATGGGCTATTGAACGCCGTTACTAGTTCTGCTAAAAGCAAAATTGAATACATTATTGAAGAGGAAAGTGAAAATGAGATGCTACTCACAAACAGTGCAGACCAGGATGTAAGAATTCTTTTTTATTTTTGTATTTAGTAGGGTAAATATATAAATTTTTTTAGGAGCATATGAACAACTCAAAAGAGAAAAATATAACCAGAATAGAGGAGAAGCAAAAAGAAACACTTAACGAGGTAAGTTTATATATTAAATTAATTTTAAAATTTGTTTCTTTTAATCAGATACGTTTCATAAATTTGGATAGATCAACATTATTGCTTCATAATTCTAAACGTTTAATTATTGACAGTTGTATTTCTAAATGGACAAAATAGCTACAGCACTCTATAAGTAATTACATATATGGAAAATTTGTATATGAAATGTAATTTTATTTTAGGCAGACTGGGGAAATGTAAATCCTTCCCTTCTCAAAACACCGGTAACACCTGTATTAAAAACTAAAAACAGGTGGTCTAATAGAAGAAGACCAGCTATAAAAAATCAAACTAGCTCACAATTAGCTGAAGAATATACAAAATTGGCCAATATTAAAAGTGAAGTTTGGGAAATAGACAAAGAGAACAAATTGATGGAGCAAAAACAGAAACAAGAACTCTTTATTTTGCAAAAGAAAAATTTATTATTAGATATTGAATTGAAAGAGCTACAAATTAAAAAAATTAAATCTGAAATTATACTATAAAAGTTCGTTTATTAGGATTAAGGATAGTAAATGAAAATACATTTTCTTTACTTTGAGTTTATTAAGTTAATACATATATGTTACTTTGATTAAATAAATTAATATAATTAAAATGTTTTTATAATATCTGCAATGGTCTCAAATTTGTAAAATAATTATTTGCTAAATCATTCCTTACAGCAAACCCCAAGTCACGGCGATTATTTTCATTTTGATTTTCTGGTGGTATATCTGGCACTTCATTTTGCTCTAACGCCAATAAGAAATTGGCAACATTCTCGACAGGGGGTAAATCTTCATTGACTCTTCTACAAACATTATTTAAAATTACTGTGGCTACAATTACAGCCATTGTAGTATCTAATTTTAACCGCATGCCATAAGAAAGAATCGGAAATCTGCGTTTTAAAATTCCAAAATAGCGCTCTATGCAATTACGTGTTCTAATAATTGATTCGTTAAATCGTTGCTCTCCATTGGTAATAGGATGGTCTATAGGCTGCATAAAATATCTTTTTATGTAGTAGCCTCCATCACCTAGAAATATGCCATTCATTTAATATAAAACAAAGTTTCTTTATCATAAGTTAATTCTAATTTGTTTTTATTACAAAAAAGTTGCTATTGCCAACATTGAGCCAAAAATTATAAAACTAACCAATTAAATACAGATTAGGAAAATGATTTTCTTCAAATTTTCTTCTAATATTGCTATTTCTAAATATTGTTGAGTCGTGGCAAGATCCAGGCCATCTAGCAACTACATCTAATGCTTCTAAATTTGAATTGCAAATCACTTGCACATTTAAACTGAAAAAGTTCTTTCTATTCCTAAAAATCTCAGCATCAGGTCCTCCTAAAAAATAAGAAACATATTACCAAAAATATATGTAAAAAAGTACTTCCATTCCTACTTTTCTCCTTACAAAACTTATTGCATATACATAAATAAAACTTTTACTTTCAGGTAGTTTTTAACAAAAACACTAAAATTGTACAAAAAGTCTCTTCAAAAGATATATGTGGACCCTTTTAATAAATGACAGAAATTACCAGGAGATTCAATTTTGATATGAGTGCAATCAATGGCCCCAATGACACGAGGAAATCTAGCTATTTCATAAAATCCTGTTTGTGTTCTTAATTTTTCTTCATCTGATTGAGGAAACTTAATAAATTGTTGGTAACGAGAACATATAACTCTTGCAACTCTAGAAACAATGCGTCCTGCTGTAGCCAGATGTACTCCACCAAAATCTGCTATCGAGGCAAGGTGATTACCTGTAGCACAAAATCTTAAAAATACCAATAACTGATTTATTGGAGCCACACAGTTATTTCTAAAAATTAATATAATTTTAATGTCTATAACAAATATTAGACTTACATACTTACATGTTATATGGATACTCCAAATTTGCCTCAATTTCTTCAAGAAAACTAAGAACAGTTTCTTTCGTCATCCTAAATCGCTCAAAAAATGTTTTTGGGTTTAAAGTGTGAAAGTAATCGTTTCTGGTATATACTCTTCGAGGTATTCCATATTTAATGAGGTCTAGTATTTCTAAATCATCGTCATCTTCCATTATTTCCATTTTTTATTTTATAATTATTTACAAACGCGTATTATTATTATAAAAATTGATTTTGCAAAAAATAAATGACAGAATTCACAAATTACACATTGACAGTTAAAACCTTTCAAAAGTATAAAAAATAAACATTTAAGGTTAAGTAATTGTTTAAGCCGATAAATTCCTTGGCTTAGTAAAGTGATACTTAGCGCCTTGTTAAGTAGAACTTTAATTACGGTGCGAACCGTTATGCATTCTTAAGTGTCACTTAGATCTTAAGTATAAGCGGTGCGAATGGCCCTAAGTCAGATAACTAACAAAAATGAGAAAGTAGGTATGTCACAATTAAGATAAAAGAACATCATTGAACTTGGCACAACATTCGATCGTTGGGCACAACATTCGATGGTTGGCAACTATTTTTTTAAAAATAATCTACTAAGGTTATTTAAATTAGTTATCTAAAGGTAAATTATTTAGAAACAATATTAAATGTACTTACCACTAATAGAAGTTATTATTAAAATTTTTTTAAACGCATCGGTACTTATAATATAATAATGTGTTATACTCGTATATGTACCATGCTTTGTTTTGTGAACATGGCGAATGGCTACTGCTGTCTGGCCATTTATGATCGACGTCAGAAAACGTTGGCCAATAGCAGAATTCTGTTTTATTCACATGACTTAAAACTTCTACAATATTATAGAATATTTTTGTACAAAATTGAATTTTTTTCATATGAAGGGATGTAAAGTATTACTATTTTTTGTAGAGAAAATTACTATTTTTTGTAGAGATAATTATTAATATTTGTACAAATTTGTACAGAAGTTAGTAGTAGTAATTACGATAATTGTAATAAATTTCTACTTCTACAAACAATAGTAAAATATACTAAACATTGTGGTCTTCTTTCCTATTGTAGAATTTTATTCGACAATTCAATTGCTACAATAATGAATAGTTTTTAACTTTAAATTGTAGTAAAATTTTCTACAAAAAGTTAAGTATTTTTCTACAAGTCTACTACTACAACATTGTAGTAAAATTTTCTAGTCACATTTTTTTCCGTGTACCAATATTAGACGATGTGGAGCCTGGATTATCCATGGCACTTGGTAATGCTCAGCTGTAAAACGATTGTACCAGATAGTAAAAACCAACTGTGTGGTCACCAGTAGATATTAAAATGATTAATACTTTTGTAAACTAGTTTTAAATTTATGATAGATATTCAAAGGTCTTGTCAGATCGTATTATGATTGTGTAGGATTGAAACCATGTTATCAAGTTACCATTTACACTAATTTCGGTAATTTTTTTTTTATTTTTTTAACAAAATATCATTAGAAGTTTAGTCAAAGCGTTGCCGAAATAAGTGTAGATAGAAATAACTTGGATCCCATTGTTAAAATTTTGTAAAATGTATTCATAATAAATTGGAACAATAATTGTTTTGATCGATCTATTAATCCATGCACTTCGGTGAAAATATTCAATACATTAGAAAATAAAAAATAGTAAATAATTGACAGACTTGTAATTGTGTACTCTCATATTAAGAGAAGCAAGTGATTTTTTAAAAAATTAAAAGAGGGGATAGGCCAGACCTTTAATACATTTAACCAATAACCTAGTAGGAATATTATGAGCATTAGCTCTAAAATTGTTTGTTCGATAATACTCTTGTTAATACGATAATGACAGAAATTTGAGGGTTAACGGAAGATGATAGAAAATAATCTGGAAAAATATTGAAATCAATAATAATGTTTAATATCATTTTAAACTATTTTTTTGATATTTAACAAATTTTCACAACTGTTTAGATATCTCAATTATATTTTCTTCATTTGCTTTTATATAATTACTGTTTTCCTTAGTTATAAGATATTTTGGTGTCTCAAGGAATTTTAAAAGTTAGATAAACAAGTTATTTCAATGCCTCTTCAAGAAGGAATTATACATTTTATTTTTCCCAATTTCGTTAATTGGACTTAAGCTTTAATAAAAAGAAAAACTTTTATAATTACTTGGCGATTTTTATAAAATGTTTTCTTTCAATCCATTAATTATAATTCAGTTTATTTTAAATATTTATTATTTTAAAGTTACTTAAAACATTTTGAGGTCATGTAATGTCATTTGTATCATTTAAAGCAGCGTTGTCAAATAATCTTAATCGAAAATTCTCGGAACTAGTAAATTTTTTTAAATCATTCTATGTAGTAGTTTGAAGGCATATTCTCCCACATATTTAAAAATACCCAGTCAACGCATGAAACAGTATTAGTTGTTCTTTAGGTGTATGCAGAATAAAAGTACCAGCTTCAGTTAACAAAAACATTATAATGTTGAAGAGCGTGTAAACATTTTAACATCACTGCATGTATTACACTTTTTTCTAGACTTATTAAAATACAATCAATTAAAGAAAATACATCACAGCCTGTATTTTTAAGTACTTGTAATATGCATGTAATTAAAGTAAGCAAACATTCGTTTCCTAAATTATTTCTATCCATGACTCATGTCTTAACGTTTTAAACATTATTTTATGAATTAGAGTTTGTTTTTTCAGTGTAGTTTTAAATGAACACCTAACATTTCCTGGCGAAAAATACGTGTTAGGTAAGTCGACTGCCATGGACCATTCAAATTGAAGCGACCTGCGTTTTATATAGATAGGCCAAGATTGATAGTTTTAGGATATTAAGAAAATATTTCTTCTCAATAAATGGACGGGATTTCCTTCGATGTCGCATCGAAGACAGAAATATCTGCATAAATTTATATTAGAATATTTTAGATGTCAGCAAGTCAGCATCGAAGTATTTAATTTTTTATCCTTTTTTTTCCGACATCAACAAGTTATTTTCTTAAAAGTTAATTTATTTTTGTTTTTTAGGTTTGTTAAAGGTGTTGTTCATATTATGAATAAATGCCCATTTGAATTTTTTACAATAGATAAAAATTACGTTACAAAAAATATAGTATGTAAGTATATACAATAGTTCAAACTTGGGGTAGTCATGTGTGAGTTTTATGGATTAAATAACCCAGAAATATATAATATCCGAACAAATTACTAGTAAGAAGTATGTATCTCTTACCTTTATAGGTAGCATTTTTGCTATTATACGCCGACACTCGAATGGCGGATATAACTATTGGAATTTTATAGAAAGTTTCTAGACACTACTTAACAATTTTGGGTCCGGTGACACTAAACAAAATTTTTTTGCCTTAAAATCCTTAAAATTTTTTGTCGGATGTCCACCATAAAACAAATGTGAAATAAACCATTTTCACTGATTTCTTGTTGTAGAAACGGCTAAATATCAATATAAGACCATTCGTAGAGCAATAAACCATACCAAATTTTTTTCATAAACGGTAAAATTTTCTTATTTTTCATTT